GGTTGTCAGGCAGGTCCTGCTAATTGTAATTAATTAAGATACCTAATTATGTAAAAATATTACATAAATATATATGTAGAATTAATATATGTATGTATATATATACGTATGTGTATATATATATGTATATATCTATATAATTTTTTAAAAATATTTTTATTTATATATAGGTATATATATAGTGATTTATACGTATATAGATATATATATTATTTTGTTCTACGTGTATTTTGATATATATATATATATATATATTCATTTCACAATACAGTTAGAACGAAATAACACACATCTATATATTTTTTTTTATTTTTTTTTTTGACAATCTTTATTTTCATTTTTATCATTTTTTCACAGAAAGGTGTAGATACGGTAAAACGTCAATTGTAACATCATATTTCTGAATAGCATAACAACATTCGTAGCCATTGTATTAACATTCTCAAATCAGTCTTCTCAAACAATATTTCTATAGTTTCCATCACATGCATTAGGTAGTATAACTTATGATCAGGTTTCAAGGCTCATATCTCCACTTGCCTACAGTGCGCAGTTTGTTGCACTTATGGTGTGCGCTCTACGTTTAGGGTGTGAATCGTTGTCTAGTCTGGTTGCTGTAGGGGATATGTTTTTTTGACACTCTTTATTTTTCATTTCACGTTGCATACCAACAGTGTCAGAGAGCATTTTGTCGCTTGACATATATATATGTTGTTGGGCATGATATAGAGCTACGGTAGCGAGAAAAGATATCTTTAGTACCTTAACACCTCCCCAGTCTTCACAGCAATTATTTACATTCAAGGCCATCTGGTCGCCTGGGTGAGAGCAAAGTGTGATGGTTTAGGTAAGGTTCCCCACTATTGTGGGTTGGCAATTGTCGGTGTATATATTTGTATGTTTATCGGTATAGCTTGTCATATGGGAGGATACTCTAGGTACCAGTCTAGGTGGCCAAGTGGGGATGTTTTCATGCCGGTATCAACGCTAGGTTGGGTCTCGGTTTCCTGTGTATTTTGCACCTGTGATTACAGTGAGTGTGTGTATTAATAAGCCCCTGTTACGGGCTCGTCAGAGTCAGTCGTTGGGGATCAGTCCAATGTCCAGTCTTGGGAAGGGGCCGGGAGGTAGGGGACCTAGGGGGGAGGGGTAGCTGGGTGGCTTAGCTCTGTATGAGTCGGTTTACTGCGGGCCTCTGGGGGGCCATGTTTGGGTTTGCTAATCTGTTGGCTAGGTATGTTTCCCAAGGGTACCAGGTCAGTGCACATTGCTCCTGTCTACCGTGGAGGTCTGCAGTTAAGGTTTCCATTGAGTGGATCTCTTCCACCCTTGTCACCCATTGCTGGAGGGTAGGCGCCCCCCTCTGTTTCCACATTGCCGGGATAAGGGCCTTTGCTGCGTTGAGTAGTGGCAGCAAGAGGGATTTCTTATATGTCTTGACGGGTGTGGGGGTGTGGTGTAATAGCATTGTTAGGGGTTCTAGGGGTAGCTCCGCTCCTGTGATTCTGTTTATCTCTACCCTGATCCTCTCCCAGTATGTGGTAATCTCTGGGCACTTCCACCAGATGTGGAAGTACGTGCCGGTGTGCATGCCGCATCTCCAGCAGGTGTCCGGGGCACCCACGTTCATGCGATTAAGTATGTCTGGGGTTCTGTACCAGCGGGTTAAAATTTTGTAGTTCAGCTCCTGGTACTTGGAGCTGATAGAGCATTTATGTGTGAGAGTGTAGATCTTGTCCCAATCTTGCACAGTAAGGACTTCCCCCGAGTCTCTCTCCCAATGATCCTTAAATTTGAGCACCACATCCTCGTTAGTTTGGGTCTTGAGTATGGTATGTATAGAGGAGATACCTCTGTGAACGTGTGTTCGGTGTACGCACAAGTGTTCAAAGCTGGTGAGGGGTCTAGTCAGGTGTCCTCGACCATGTAAGGATAAGAAGTACGTCTTAACTTGGTGGTATCTGAATTGTTCGAGTATCGTCGGTGGTCTATCGGGGCAGAGGTTTCTGAGTGGTTTAAGTCCCTGAGTGTCGAGCCATTGGTGTAGGTACATCCAGTCTGCCTGCTGGAGGCCGGCTAGGTCTTGTTATATATTTTTTAATTATTTATTTTTAATTATTTTTTTAATTTTATTTTTTAACGTATTTAACTTTTTATTTTTTTTATATTATATATAAATATATATATATAACAATAATTATATATATATTTAATCAGTATCAGTCTACGTGTAATTTGATATTAATATATATATATATAATTATATATATTAATAGTAAAATACACCTAGACGGTGTACGTGTGTGTATGTATATGTGTATATATATATACTTAGATCATATACTACATGTTTGTGATTTAAGTTATTGTTATTTTTTTTTTACACTATTTATTCATTTTATTTTTATTTTTAGCCAGCAGGGGGACCACCTGTCATTACAGGCAGTCCCCCTGCTGGCAATGCTGCAGCCAGCTACCCCCGGCCATGTGATTGTGGGGTCCTCGCAAGGACCCCACTCTCACACGGCCGGGGGGCTTCGAGGAGGATGGACGTGCCGCAGGGGTCTCCCTGGGAGTCCCCCCCACCGCGATCGCCGGCGTGGGGTCGCCGGCAACCGGGTAAGTACCGAAAGACCGGAGGGCGTACTATTACGCCCGGCGGCGTTTAGAGCCGC